ATTTCACAACATGTTTCGGCACTATAGTGCCATCATCAAGTGCTCCATTTACGTTAATCTATTTCATTGCTTGCCATTATGTCATTGTAAAATTTAAAAAGTATTTTAAAATGTTCGTCAATTATAATAAATATTTATATACTAAATCTTGTTAAGATTATTTATCTTATCTGTCCCAATTCTAACACCGCGCATAGTTCCACCACTATGGGAGTCGTTCCTCTTACTCTCAGTGTATATCGTGTCTCGTGTTGCATGTTCCCTGTTTGGTTGCGGGTTATATAGTAGTTAAACTAAAATAAGCTAACAAGTAGCTTATTTAAACTTATGTCTCAAATTCATGTAAGAGCTAAGACATGCCTGATGCCAGAAATTCCAAATAAATGCCCTTATTTATGAAGGAAGATAAAAGATATAATTTTCCAGCCATTGTTCATTCAATGTTCTGGATAAAACATATGAGACCTCTTTTCTTTAAAGGTTTCACTCTCTTTGGCGATGTTAACAAGAGCCATAAGCCAATAACCAAGTTACATAATTTATTCGTTAATATCTGTACGTTTCCCACTATCAAAGCACGCGAAATTTGTCAGAATTGACTACAGAATTTTTAGTTTCGCCGTGTATGTAGTCGCTGACGCGTAAGGAACCGTCCACATAGAAGTAGTTGGAAGTCACATGATCAGTTTTCATACAAAATTTTATATAAATTCCACGGATTATTCATAAGTTATATACATCAGATTAATATGCAAGTATCGAGTGTACGCTTATACGACTTTGTTTTACATTCCAAGAAAATAGCATGAGCTTCAGAATATTGAATATTTTTTTAAGATATGACAGCATGACGCTAGCCTAAAGACCAGCAGCAACCAATGTACTCGTACTATCTGAGTTGATAGCGAAATAGAAGACATTTCAAACAAAGAACATATTTATGAGTTTCATACTGTTCTAAAGATAACTAACATATTCCTGATCGATACTAACCAATTGATGGGTCCACCTATAATAGAAACTTGACGTTTTTCCTTGAACTTAGGAAAGGGAGTCTGTACATACCATTTGTATTACTTTGATCAGTTTCGTCCCTATTTAAGATGATGAGGCGTCCTTATAACGGTCTAGAAAACCGAGATTAATGGTCGTGGTGATCCGTTGCGTTGACCACGCGACACCCTCTATCCGCAAATTTAGCACTATATTCGCCGAGAAGCGGCGGTCGCTCTGTCGGTATAGTTCGTTTGTGGACTACACGCCACGGACTTTGTTTTTGTTTGAGATGTCCTTGTAATAAACAAAACGACTATACAGTATCTACAGTGGATATGGTGTCGTTAAATAACCTGAATACGTGGGCGCTGGAAGTGATAACTTTTTAGAGATATGGAATGCACCAACGAGAGAAGAGTCGTTGCTTGTGGCCCAATTTGGGGTCTCGGGTCGACGTGCTTTTGGCGCTGTTTTTCCGTCTTTTAATAAAGTTCTTGGACCGACGTCGGTTGGGGAATTGGATCCAGCTGGTAGTGGACGGCGGGTTGTAACAGAAAAGCGATCTATCTCCTACTCCGTTAGATACAGTGCAAGTTAATTATAAGGTAAGAAAACAAATTTGGAACCGAGTTAAGTGCATGGAATTTAAATACAAAAATATCTGTGACAGAATACAAGGATGCATTTTCCTTCTTTCTATCTTTTTCTTTTCATTCGATCTATTTTCCTTTCTTTTCTTTCATTCAGTTTTCTTCCCTTTTTAATTTCACGACCTACTTCATACTTCCTAAATTGTTCTCTTCCTGGTCGTCTTTTTACTTTCTTATAGTCATTCTTTTTCTGTTTTCTCTTTCTCTACTTACTTACTTACTTATTTTCTATCTTCATTTTCCTATTTTTATCCTTCCTTCCATTTTTATTGTTTCCTTATTTCTCTGTTAGCTTCCTTCCTGTTTCTGTCTGTTCCTCCCTCTTTCTTATATGATTTCCTTTCTTGCGTTTTTCTTTCCTTCATTATCTCTTGTTCTCTTTCTTTCATTTGTGGCGTCCATTATTTCTGTAGAAGACAGAATTTTGAGAACTTTGCTTCTTCGCCCACGCACGCGGACATACACACGCAAAGAAAATCCCCATTTGTCCGTGCGTATTTCATGCCCCACTGACCTTTCTGATCCAGCAGCACAAACTATGTTAGAGATTATATAACATGGAGATGTTTTAAAGTAATTCTCTCCAACGTGTCAGTTCTGCCAACTTGTGTTCATATATATCCGGCAGTATTCACGTATATAAACAATTTCCAAAAATTTCTTCTGCCAAGATAATGAACAGAAAACCCATAAATCAAAGGAGCCTACATTTATCTTCTGTCATGGAGAGTTTATAATTAAAATCCAAGTACCCTGTAATAATTGAGATAATCTGAAGAAAATTATATTCCCGTTAAGACGCACCTCAAAGAGGATGCTGTAAATTGAGCAGGAAAGCTAAATACAGGGCTTCCTTTTGCCTACTTTTCTGCGAAATGATAATATTGATTTATGTGTTAACTTATCAGCCAAAAAGGCCAATTACAAAGTGAATATCAGTAGAGCAAAAAAAAAAAAAAAGACAAATAAAATACAAAACAAGGCAATGTGAAGATGCTAATAACAAGTACCTTGAACTTACTTTGTCGCGTTTCCATGCGTATTATACAAGAAAGTATATACGTGCAAGAGGGAACGTAAAATAGAAATGTTAAAGCAACTGCATATTTTGGTTTTCCTAAAACACAAAGGTCTATGACTGTTCTAGTATTGTGCACCTATATCAGTGTATAAGAAAGTGGATATGATCTCATTTTACGTTTGTGAATGTAAAGTTGTTCCCCTTGCTAAATAAACATCAGACTGTGAAGGTATGCAAGTATAAGGAATCATAGCCCCACACATCCTTACTCTCGGTCCTAGAGAGAAGTGAATAGCCCCTTCATTCCCGGGGAAACAGCCCTCGATACCCTTCGAATGGGAGGGTGAGTGTATTTCAGGGCTGGTCTGGCAGCTCTGAAGAAGATAAATATATTTGCTGCTGCAGGGAATCGAATTCCGAATCCTCGGTCTTCCAGCCCATATGCTAATCACTATCCTAATAATGTCACTATCGTGACTGAGCTATCTCAGTTCCTCTTCATTTCATAATTCCTGTATTAAACCCTCGAGAACATCAGCCAGAATTTGAGGTATCGTGTGTGAGTTATTACGAGTAATATCTCTTTATATTTATACATTTGAGAAGGTCGTGATCTATTCAGTAGGTCTATTCTGTTGAATGAAATGAATTCACGCCACAAGAATCTTTAGTCTGCAGTCAATTTGAATTGCTATCATCTGACTCCCGGGCTAAATTAACTGCCTTCCCTTGGTATAAATAGACCCTGTAACCCAAACAATTGTAGGGGACAGGTTTATGTTACATATACCGCTCTTGCGCTGCGTGATTACATCACACATATACATGCAAACACACTCTGCTTCTTCCTCCTCCAGATTTGTACAACATGGCCATGTAATTTAACAGAGCGAGTTGTAAAAAAGGGCAAGGGGGAAACCGCAAAGAAAACCTGAGTAGAGAGTGGTCTTTCAACTTTTGTGAAAACATCATCACAGAACAAAATCAGAATACATGAAGACCACAAAAAGGAGATAACAATTAGGCATCCCATGATTTAATTACAGGTTTTTTTATGATTTATTAGAATGAATTTCATAAAGCGAACTTAGGTCATGTAACTGCACAAGCAGTCTGCTTGTACCGGTGCTCACGGTCTCTTCACTTGTGGATTTTCTTATTTTTACTTCGACCCTGAAGATGGAGGCGATACGTTCCTCCGAAACGTCGGTTAACACTACATCTACACGGTGCCACATCCCAGAAGATATGCTTTCTTCAGTTAACTTACATAAAAGCAGTAATTAATACGCTTGTAAATTTCATATTTACTTTCGTTTATGTTATTTTATGAAAAGTTGTAAAAATTAAGGCGACGCTTTGGAGTGCGTTTCACATTAAAGAAGAGTACATATATTAAATATATTTTGCGAGCGTGAGGTAACCTGGGACGCTACAGCAGGTACCTTCTGATGTATTTTAATTTTATTTATATCTCTCTATGCAAATAATACTTCAAATAAAAATGCATTTTTAAATAGCTCATAATGCAAAAATTAAACTGCGTCTGCAAGACTATAACACGTAAAAAAATCTAAATACATCTTGCAATGATTTATATATGATGTATGAGAGCAATTTCAGGCAGTTGGTATTCAGATTACGGTCTTCCGAGACGTGACACCATGCACTTTTGTAGATAAGAAATTGCAAACCGTTTCACTCTTAGAAGAGTGCTATCTACATACCAGATCCATAATTTAGGTCTGGATACAAAGTACCCGTTGGAATCCTAGAACACCTACTCCCTTGATTACTTCTGTAAACAAAATATTAATATTTTTTTCTAACTAGTAGGATCTATCTGCACTATACATAAACGCAATCAAAAATAGGTTTTTATCTTCCATAAAAGGTTATAAAATCCAATAACAAAACTATGATATAATGAATATATTTAAAGCTAAATATCTCGTAACCTGTGTTGACCCGAGATTTATTTTGAAAACATAAAGAAAACTCACTCTAAAATTATTTCGAATTTCTTTTCTCGGGATGAATTTGACCTTGTGTTTCCCATGACCATAATTCAATGCAAACAACTAAAGTGCTTTTATAGTAACTTGTATTATTTCTTCCTCTTCTTTCAGAAATCGGGCATAATTTGTAGCTGCAAATACCAAACTGGCAAGATGTCTTACTGAACAAATATGTCTACCCACCAAGAGAGAGATGGTGTGCACAAGATGCAAAAATCGATTCCACGTTTCTTCGTTTCCTTCTTCATCTTTTCCTTCCTTCCCTCCTTCCTTCCTTCCTTCAACGTCTCCCCCTGCCTGCTCCCCCTTCCTACACTAGCACACCCCCTCCTAGCAACAACACTGAGATCGACCGAAGCTAAGAGCCTGCAAAGACAAAATGGCGACCAGTACATTGTGAGAATTTATTCCTCAACTCAAGAAAATTCAGGATTATCAGGTGATTTCCGGTCCCTCAAACTGACGTCAACTTTACAATAAACAGTTTCAAGGTAAAACATTTTGCTTCAATCATATATTCAATTTAATTGACTAATTTATATATCTAATACAACACATTTTGTTATGTGTATGCTGATTCCAATGTTATTTAATATCTACAAGTAGGCAAACGAAGGCCTAATGCATTGCCTTGTCTCCGTTCCACTGACACGAGTTCAGATTTTAATTTCTTTTTTTAACTAGGTCACGCATGCGCTTTGTATACTACTAATTATTGGGTAGAACAGTTGAGCTTCTAGACTAGATTTCTAGTACAACCATCCAATAAAGACTATACTTATATGTTTAAATATTTGAGGCCCTGGAATTCCCAGAATGTCATCATTTCAGGAAAAAAAAAAAAGACAGTTTCTGGAGAAGTTGCGTATTTTCATAAGCTTCAATTTTGCAGTTTCATATTATAACGATTTGAAAACATAATAATCAGAGCGTAAGTATCTGTCAGTGCTTGCAGCTATAGTAAGGAGAGTGCAAAATGGACTAAGAAGAGAGAATTAAATAAGGTTGTCTAGCGTTTTAGAGAGAAAATCATGCGCTTAATTTAAAAATGTACGACAATAGAAGACCAAGGAGGACATTTAGACCTAATGAACATGAAGAAAAAGAAAAGTGGAGAATGTTGCATAATGACGATTTTCATATTCTACACTTTTCATGATTGGTTTATTTTCTTTAGTAATAAAAGTTTTCAGACTCGTAAAGTCTGCCGCGGGCCGTCGGTTGGAAAAAAACAATATCCATGATCTTCATTACAGAAAGGTTTTAATAGGATAACTTCTTAAATAATACGAAAGAGATATCAAAGCTTAGGTACACAGGCCTTTCTAGTCTGTATTTATTTTTTGTTTCGGAGATAAGTAAAAAATATACCCCACCATTTTTCAGCATCTAAGTTAACTGTTCGAAAAATATAATGAGTTACCACGGAAACACAGGCCTACATTGGCTAATTGCCTCCAGAAAATTTTCTTTAAGCAAGAGCCAGCGTTAGCGCTACTGTTGCAACACTTGCAATGAATTCCGCTCATCGTCTGAGATTGTTTTTCCAAAAGAATATAAATTTGTGACTATTTTTCAAGGGGGGGGCTAAGTTGGGATTTATTTTTTCGCCCCATAAATATGTATAATAACAACAAAAGATCTGACGTTTAATTTGATACCAAAATTTGAAGAAAACGCCAACAACATATAACATATCTATCAAAATATCATAATTTGTGAATGTTTGCTGTAGCAAGTAGATCAGGTTATTTGTCCATTGTTACAGAATCAATTAAATAAACTCCACCTCCTGAGATGAAATTTCAGGTATGCAACTAAATTCCCTTGTTTTAGGATTGCTCAACTCTTTGGAACACAAAATTTATCCAAGTAATATTTCTCAAAACATTCTTTGAAGAACTCGTGATACTTTCATTCCAGTGCTTCAGTCTGTTTGGTAAGGCCAGCAAGTAACGTGTAAGAGGAAAATGTGCAGTTAAACATCGCTATTAACTTGATGGTGTTACATGTTTGACACAGAATAACAATGATGCTACTTATCAATCCATATCTGTACATAAGTTTCACTGGCACATATTCCGACTATGTTAAACGTGTCATACACCATATTCAAAGTTTCCACCTGTTGTCGTGTTATAATAGTTTCTATGTGTGAAACTGCGTCCTGCTTAATTTGTTTATGATATATCTTCGAGAATAGTTCCATGTCACTAATTTCAATATGATTCAGCTAAATGTTTCATACGTCTGCAGTTTCCATGTTGAATAGACAACAAAAATATAAAATGCCTGAAAACTTACTTATTTTTTTTTAGATATATTTCCACAAAGCTTCAGGACTTTACACCAAGTGAGGACAGTTCCGACCCCATCTCAAGAGCTCTCACTGTGTCCAATAATAGTACGAAATTAAAAACGTAGACGGAAGAATGACCACTAGTGACATGATGTTCAACATAAAGTTTCTGGAAAACCCAGTTCAAAATGTATTAGTTGGGGTCCGACATATTAGCATATTAATTCCTATCTCCAAGAAAACTCACTATATCTCTGTTACAACAAACTGTCGGTTAGTAATAATTAGGAAAGCAATGACCTCTTACAGGAGGGAAAGGGGGCGGGAAGAATTTCGAATCAATAACTCCCACGCATCTAACTAAGCCCCTGTCTACAGTTACAGGGGACGAAGATGAAGATTTGTATCATATATTCTGATACACTCCAGCGAACTGCGTGTTTCCATTGTCAAATTATCCGTTAGATTAATTATGAGTAGCTGAAGAAAGATGAAATACTTCCCAGGTCACGAAAACAAAGGAATATATTTATTTCCACCTGTCTAATAATTTATGCAGTAACAATTAATGCAGTAATATGCCATACTAACCCTATCATTTAGGCCTATCAAGTGAGAACAAAGATAAAAATTTTTAATTTAAATATCCCTTTCAAATGTCCGCACTCTAATTCTTGGTCTTAATTAAAGAGCGAGATATTTCGTGATCCACGGAATATTAAAATAAAGACGTCTCATACATTATCAATAATATCACCTTTATATCAGTTGTCATTAAGCCATATAAAGATTGAAGTGGCCTAATGCTCCTTTAAATAAGATGTAAAGTGACGTATACTCGTACATATTACAGTACAGCGAACCCTATTGATTCAGGACGCGAACTATGAATCCTTAAAGTTTTTTCTTTTGATGTCATTTGAAGGATAATAATAAATTAATGGCACTATGCACCAAGGAGTCATTATTACTCTTGTAGTGCGTGACGAGTGTGTATCACAGTTCATAAAAATTACTTTTTTGTTCTCACTGTAATATGATCCTAATTGTCGTCTTTTACACTATAATTATAAGGGCCCTTTTTAATTATGATTTTAAATTCGAGACATAAACGGTTCTTCAGTCTTTTTGATATCTGGCATCCCCATTATTAATTAATTTATCTGTAACCATAGACTTCCAGTATTGTTAATAACTGATAGGGCCTGTAGCATTTCCTTTATTTAACCCGATAAATTGATAACCTAATAGAAATTGAAAAATATATTTACTGTTATACGTACTATCCATTAAATAATCCAGTCTATAAATAAAACCTAGCAGAATGATTTAAGTAGAAATTATGCTCATACAATTTATCAAATCCTCTCCATGCCAAACGTCCACTACAACATATCTGAAAATGTTAAAAGTTTTGAAATCAAGTTCATAATATTTCATCCCTTTTATATTTGTAAGCCTTAAAGTAAATAAAAGAATGTTTCACAAAAATTTTGCAAATATATTTGTGATCCATCACCGAGCCAAATTTCGCGTCTTAATTAGTAACGGTTCATCAGTCATTTCCATCAAACACAAAGCTATATATATTTTTTTCATACTATAGGAAAGGTACAGTAACCTGGTTCACCCTCAAAACATTAATCTATACTTATATTGAATTGTTACCAATAAAGTACACATATTTAATAATTCATTTTGGACAAACTAGTTATGTTATAAAGCTAAACGTTATATTTTACCAATTCAAACAGTAATTAAACCGACTTTGTCTTCTAAAATTGAAAATAATTTAGTTCAAGATGACTTCACTAGAGGTGATTTTGGCGGAATATTAACAGTTCCTGTGAGATGGTCTTTTAGGGCCCTTTGAAAATGGGCACCAGGATATCCGGACTTATTTCCAATGAAATCCTTTTTTCCTATAGAATTAATGCAAGATTATATCCTTGGCTCATCCTTACCAACACAGCTCAGCGATCTAAAGCAAAGAATCTGTTAAACCATGACGTCACCTTTATAAAATCCCTTACAGTGTGTTTGGGGCGACTTTTGCATCTCTTGAATCATGTAAGAAATTACAGCAGTGCTAATACTGAGCGCCTACAACGTTAAAGTAAGATTATATTTGTTGAGTACTTATTTTCATTATTAACAATAAATAAAACTTATCATTTGTCTTACGTTTCTGCAATAATGTAATTATTTATATACCTCTGTCATCACGAAAGACTTTTGAAACTGTACTTGAACACTAAACAAAGAAACTGAAATATATTCATCTGGCCCGGATAGCAAGCTAAGAAGCGTAAAATTGTAAACGTATTTACGCGCTTTAAGCGCTTCGTTAGCTACTGGAAATTGAATTAGTCCAGTAACGGCAAGATCTTAATTTGATGAGGGGCCGAGTAGGGAGGATTTTAATTAGCATCTGTTTTTTTTTTCCTCTCTCAAGCAGCTCCATTCCCTCGGCAAGTGGACGAACCATTTTATCCGGGCCTTACCATCTCTTGTCAGTTGTCAAGGCAACATCCTGCCCAGTAGAGTGCAGCAAAGAAACGTGGTACCTTGTACGATTTAGCCTTGCAGTCAACTCGAAAAATCAGTCACCGGGAAAGACAAGACTTGACAATGAAACCCAGATTGGTGTAAACTACCGAGCGGATTCTTTCTGAGAAAAATAATTGTAGTTTAGTTCATCGGGAATCAAACCGGCAACCTTCCGCCTTGTAGCATAGTGCTTCAACCAACTACACAACTACGTGCCCCCTCTTACATCATACTTAGATATACATTTTCTTGCATTCTTTGCAGGATCATCAGATGCGCGTGTAACATTACTCGGCTACTTGTTTCAACCATAATCCGTACAAACATCAAAACCAGGGAGATTATACTTCCGGGTAACTGGTTAGCATTAAGATCCGGCTGCTTTGTCCCCACGGAAACATAAGCAAGTATCCAGAGGATTGAAATTATGTAGAGCTTGTTTGGAATTTGTTTACTGTATGTATTTTGTTCTGTATTGTTCCCTTATGTTATAGAATTTCCTTATCTGTATCAGTGTAAGTTCTACTGCCACCGGATGAACACCCAATTGCAGTAAAATAATAATAATAATAAAATATTTCTAGGCTTGTAGGTAAAGAAGGTCGACCATCATACCCAAAACCAGCCGCCTCACTGAACTAT